ATATTTTGCATATTTTAGCTACAAAACTGTAATGTATGTCACATGATCATGTTTTGTCCCAGTCCTCCGTTATGAACTTTTATTTTAGTAATTGGGCCTCGCTCTCATCTTTCTCTTTCTCCTTCGTGTTGGTCGCTTATAAGAGCGAGGCTCCTCAGCAGCAGGAGTGGAGTCTCCTCCGCCCTTTCGTCTCCGAGCAACAAGCGGAAATCTCGCGGAGCAACGAAATCTCGCGAGCAAGAGTGAGCAAAGAAAACTTTGAAGTAGTTTAAAAAATAAAATCGATGTTCCCTTTTCCATATCAAGCATTAATTAAATATCGATCGAATCGAGCTTCACGATATATCGCCCAGCACTATGTGCAAGCACTTTGAACATTATCTGACACTGACCTCTGACCTTTGCTTCATGTTGTCTCTCTTCAGCTGTCATATCAATAATGACAAAAAGGTTAAAAAATAACAGAGAAAAAGATGATTGTGTTTTGCACACAGAATAAAAGTTTTCACTTCTGGAGACTTCAGAGGCTCCTTAAAAAAAGTCAAAATGTCAAGAATAGAATCTTCTCTCTCATGTCGGGCCCTCATCATCTTCTGGAGACAAACAATTGTTTTTAAATATTACAAGAATATATTTGGTGAAACGTCCTGATGTTAAAAGAATGTAAAGGCTATCTAATGTCTGATTGTTTTCTTCATGTACTTAGATTGATGTTTATCTCATCATGTTTACAGTTTATAATGTTTTTATTTCATATAAATATTCTTGATTTCTTCTCTTCAGACATCAAACACTTACAGGAGGAGAAGTGCCACATGTGGAAACAGATCTGAAGTCTGAATTTAGAATTTAAAAATTCAAACCAGACATAAAACGATGAGTCCTGATATTAAAAAATAAGAAAACAACATGATGTGAACTCACTAATTGATCCTAAAAATCCTGCTCCATAAGAAGCAGTCCCAACACACAGTGTAACATTGATCATGTTTTATTCCAGCAGGTGGATGTGAATGATGAAGCACAGCCTGATATCACGTTGTAACCATCAGAGCGTCATTCATCAGCAGCATAAAGAAACGTTTAGGAGCATACTTCAGCTCTGTGTTTGTCTCTACCTGACACACTCGGCTTTATAAAGTCTAAACAAGAGATACATCCTCGTCCCACATCTTAAAGTCTCATTATATCTCAGTGTAGCAGCAACAGAATCTCATGTATTTACAGTCAAACAGCAGCTGTAGTTCAGTGAAGTACTGAGGCTTTGATTCTCCGTCAGTCGTAAAGCGCCTTTGCTCTCATTTCTTCATTCACACACTGGATCAACAGGAGAGCAAACACAAACAGGGACTTCTATTTCACACTTTCTCACATCAATCCTGTTTTTTAAAGTGTTTCTTTAAATCCTCAGTCAGAGGCTCTCTGGGATGTTCACAGGGAGACCTTTATGTTTTAAACCCTGGATTCCATTCACAGATGATATTAATGAAATGATCATGCATTAAAGCTGCAGTGTATTTAAAGCAGAGTAAACGTTAGAGGTGTAAGGATGTGTCATGAACATAGACTGTAAATATTACTGGACGAACCCTGACCCGTCTGTGACATAGGCAGAAAATGAGTCCAATCGACGGCCGCATCCATATTGGATTTGCAGTCTCAACCTAACTTCGGATCAACCTAGCTACAGCAGTAAGGCGGGACCGGCGGGACTTAGCTCCGCCCATTCAGCTCGACGTTAGCAGTCCACTTGACAGCATAGCTAACAGCTAGGCTGCTATCATCAACTATTCCTGCTCGTCCTGAGAAAACTCTACAAACAGTAAGTTAACATTTAACTTTTCTACAACACAGTTAAAACGAATTATATTCAACACAAATATTTAATTAAAGTCTTAAAACTACACTTTTTTAAATATACAATTATGTTTATGAGTTATTTGTTAGAGAAGTTAGACTTTGTCAGTGTTAGCAGAGAAATACATTAACAAAGTTTTATCCATAGACTGTAAATAAATATGAGACATCCAGAAGAAATCAATATTACAAAGCATACAGTTCATGTTACTGTTCTGACAAAAAGAGGAATGTCTGTGTCTTATATTTACTGATGTCAACAGCGATGAGGTGAACATGACAATTGAAAAATAATTATTTAGTATTTATTATAAGACATTTGTTTTCTATTGAACCCCGTTAAGTCATGGAGTCTGTGAACAGTGTCAGCTTCACACCAAAAACTTTAAGTATTAGAAAAAATAATGTTTAAGACTGGCATCTATTATGATGAGTTGCAGCTACCTTGTTCAATATTATTCCTGCAGATGTGGCTCATAACAAAAAAACACCCTGAGCTGTCACATGTAGTTAACTGTACATTTTGTCTTGTCTGAGGCATTAATTGAACACCTTTGTATTTCTCCTATAGACACAGTGTGGATTATTGGTGACTGGTCCGTCGAGGTGCCCAGAGAGCTGCAGAGACAGAGGAAGAAACCTGAGCCTCAACAACATCTGCATTTGTTGGTTCTTCTAGGGTGGACTTCGGTTGCTTCTCTTCAACAGCTCGCTGTGAGGGAGGTCTGAGTGATGTCACCCACAGGCTGAGAGCTGAGACGGGTTTTAAGCCTTTTGACAAACCGTTACACCGCGCCCGCCTGTCAAGCTGGTCAGCTACACGCCTTATTGTGAATAACTCTTATCCTTCATCAAAACATTCACCCCCCGTACAGTGTGTGTCCATCGAGACATGAGCTAATCACACCTATTTGTTTGTTTTGTACCAAGCTGTAAACATGTTCATCTCTGCTGTAAAAACAGACTTTTTTTAATGTTGTTTTTCAGATTAAATAAATATTTCTATATAAATGCACTCCTTTATGTCTACTTATGAGTATACATTTCAGATTAATGCTCAACTCAATAGCTTAGGGAAGGAAGTCTACTTTTACACAACTTCTTATTCTTTTGATAAATACTAATGTAGTTCATTTCTGAAAGTGGGACGGAACAGAGTCATTGCAAAAATATGCCCTTAAACACAGCCCCATTCTTAAATCAAGATACATGGAGAGTAAATAAGATCAATATCTGGTGAATAAAAACACAGTTAAAAATGATTTAGAAATGTAGTCTTCCCTGATCAATATCACATAATATCAACTTCTCCCATCTAAACTGGACAAAGGGTTTTAAAATGGGAAGAAAATAGTTTGATTGCAAGTTGTTTGGAGGAGATCTAGTTTTATTTGAACAGCTGAAGCATGAATACAGTCTTCCAAGGTGCAAACCCTCCTCTTCCTCCTGAAGCCTGTGGAGCTCCTTCATGTACTGCTGTCTTATCTGCTGGCCATCTTCTCTCAGCAGAACTTCAACTGTTGAAAAGTCATTCAGAAGAAGCTTGAGCATGTGACATGGATCCAGGAGAACATGGACTTTTAGTGAGGGGTCGTCAGGATGGCAAAGAAAGAGAGAAAAAATCAGTTATTCATTAAATCATTTTTTTTGTTCTCATCTATTTTTCTGTATTCATCTGTGTGTAAGAGCACATTTATAAATTCAACAGTGTACTACCCAGAAAACAAAGGTACAGTATTTAGGTAATCAACATCTATTCAAAGTTAAGAAGATAAACATTATTGTAATCGTGCTGTTTTCAGCTCTCTCACTCACACAATGATATTACACATCAAATTGTCTCAGATTTTGTGAGGAAAAATTAAGCAGTTTATTGTGGATAGTACTTCATCTTAACATGAAACAAATATAATCTGAATTATTTAAATCATTAACAGGTCCCAACTCTCTGTGCTTTAGTACAGAACATACAGTAACTCATTTATTATTAACATGAGCTCAGTACATGGCTGTATTCTTCAAACTATTTCTTATACTTTATATCTATGTGCTTTAAATCTTATTTTCATTCCATATGTTATTTATATTTTATATTTCTACAGCTATATTCTGTGTATGAGTTCAGTGAAAATTAATATGGTTATTAATATAGTTCTTAATGGTTACAGATGCTCTTACAAAGTGAAGTTTTTTTTATTTGTTAACAGTTTGCTCAAACCTTAAGACACTACATCAACCATGTAACTTTAATGTCATCCTCTATAACCTACACAGCATATTAGGTTCAGTTCAGTTTATGTTACTGACGGATAATTACTACACAAAGTTTGTTTTTTAATGTCCACATTTAGGTGGAGTCTAACATTCATCATAACGTCAGATAACCATATTTACAGTCTGTGGTTAACCACCGAGATGAACCTTTAGCTTCTAACATCACACAAACTCATTATTTTCAACAACAACATCTTAACAACAAACATTTCTAAACCATTGACCGTAAATAATGTAAATAATGTAAATAATGTAAATAATGGGCTATACAGATAGCCGACTGGTTTACAAGCTAACGCTAAACAAGCTAGGTCCGTAAATATAAACACATGAGTAAGCAGTAAATATAACACTACTTTATCACTTACCGAAGAAAACTGAAGCATCAACTTCTTGGATGGTCTGTTAACCGCACAGCAAGCCATGTATGTTGTCAGATATGTGTTAAACAAACTCTCCAAACGAAGTAAGAAAGAGGAGAAATCAGACGGATCAAGCTGTTAGCCTCCTGACCTGCTGACCTCACAGACAGATGCAGCGCGCACAGCTGTCAATCAAATCTGACACAACCAAATATGGGCATAGTCGTTTTCCTTAATAGAATAAAATCCGATGAGTTATAAAAAAATTCACCCCCCCCACAGTGTGAGGAGAAGGGGCCGTCAACTTCTCAGATACATCTCGTTTTTTGAACCAGGCTGTAAACATGTTGATTCCTGTGGTAAAAACGGGCTTTTTTGGCTGTGGGCTTATGGCACTTCCGGCGCTTCTGCAGCCAGCCTCAAGAGGAACCTCGAGGAACTGCAGTTTTTTGTACTTCCGCATAGGCTTCATTTTTCGAGACCGGAGGTTGCCCCTTGGTCATGAACATGCTCCTCAGGTCGTTCCAAAGTCGACGGGCTCTGATTGGAAAAAGCCCGATCTCCACGGCGTTCATTAAAATGTGAGAACAAACACCTGGTTGGATTTGATCCCTCACTCAGCTGTTTTCAAGTATGACATCATGATGGTCAAACAGATGAAATCATCTTCATGTTGGGATTAAGGCAGATTAGCTTCAATAACTTTGGAGTTCCAGAGTCAGAGGTTTGAAGGAACACGACGTGAGTCTACCTGACTTCATTCAGCTAGAAGGTCGGATTCAGTGCGGTCTTTTATGGGTTCACCTTTCTCCTCGTCTGCAGGAAGAAAAAACTAAATGATGTTCAAGAAAATCACGACTGACTGATCTGACTGAGAGAGTGAAAAACAGACTGGAGACTGAGGAGATACTGACAAGACTCTTAAAGAGAGACACACAGGTAGACTTTATGTTCTTTAACTTACCTTTACGACAACTGATGCGACCTGTGGCAAAGAGCACAGCTGGACGATGACAACAACAATAAGAGTGATGACGACAGCAGCAACAGCAGTAGAAATAATCCATCCAGCAGAGAAATCTGAAACAGAAACAAAAAGTTTGTGTATCACTCAGAGTGTAGTTTCATATCACACTCAGATCAGACTGGACGTCACATTGGACACACAGAGAACAGCAGGTGTGTGTGTGTGTGTGTGTGTGTGTGTGTGTGTGTGTGTGTGTGTGTGTGTGTGTGTCTCTGTGTGTCTCTGTGTGTGTGAGCAGTGTGACGTCAGCTCTGCTCTGATGCTCAGTCTCCTCCTGCTCGGCTCTCAGCCTCCTTTTGGTTTTTGGCTCTCAGCAGTGAGGAGGCTGATGTTGGAGCTTCGTCCTGTTTCTGAGACGAGCTGCTCATCAGCACCGACAAACTTTGAATCCACTTCACACTGTTTACATGTGAGCACACTCTGAGCACCCAAAGGACCATCTTCACCTCCTGCTCGTCAACATCTGGATCTTTACACACATCACATCTGGACTTCATCTCACCACTGTTTACTGCGTCACAGTTTAGAGTTTCATGATGCTTTAAACTACTTGAAGTTTATTCACCTGACACTTTGACCTGCAGGACTTTTGAATAAAGGAGTTTAACTCGTCTCAGCGTTTTTTAAAGAGCTGTTTTTATACTTTAAGGATCATTTACGGAGAGTTTTTAAACCTCTCATGTTCTCAGAGACGACTGAAACTGGGACTTTAGCTCATTAAAGGATCAACAATCTTTAAATAAACACTAAAAACAGTTTGAAATGAAACTTCAGGTGTGATCAGTTAAACACTGTGACTGTATGCAGCGAGATGACCTTTAAACAAGGTGCAGATCAAGCTGACAGCGCCCTCTAGTGGACAAACAGTGAAACACACACTGGTTCTTAAAGTAAATGTGGAGCTGAAGACTTTTTTGACCTCCTGGTTTCAGATTAAAACATGTCAACATGTCTCTGATGTTTTCATGTAAAGTTTCTCTTCAAGTTCAAACTGAAATCTGGTTTAAACTGAGTTCAGTTTGTGATCCAGCAACACTCTGCTGCAGTGAAGAAAGAGCGTGTAAAGACGACGTTCACTCCAACATGTTGATCATCCAGGACTCTCTCTGTGACGTGATGAACAACATGTTTACATCGTTCATACAAACTGCACTTTAAAGTCCACATGTGTCTGTAAGGGATCAAATGATGACCAGGAACCATCATTGAACTGATTCACACTTCAAGTTTGGTCCCACTTTTTAGTCTCCCGTCAGTTTAGAGTGAAGAAATGAAAACAAACATCAATAATGAAACAGTTTGTACATGTTTGAAGTTTCCTCCTTCATGTTTGTTTCCTTCGTCTCTCACTAAACGCAGCAGCTACTTCAACATGTGGGACAATAACTCACAGATATTAGAACCACATTTCTTTCCCCTGTGGAAAATAAACGTGGCTGCTTTCTTCTGACTTCAGTCCCTGAATCGTCCTGAGACGTCTTTTCACTTGGATCCTCAGAACGAGGACACTGAAGCTGGTTTCAGATCTGATACTGGGTTTGTGTTCAACGTGAAGAAGACTGACGGAAACATTCAAAACTAACTTCACTTCTTTCTCATGTTTTCCAGCAGACTCCCTGATTCTTCCTCTTCTGTCTGCAGCTTCAGGAACTTCAGTCTGATGTTCACATATTCTCTGGAGTGGACTCTGAAGTGCTCTCGTTTGGGGCGCCGGTGGCCTAGTGGTTAGTTTGAACGCCCCTCATGTACGGAGGTTGTAGTCCTCCAAGCGGGCGGCCTGGGTTCAAATCCAACCTGAGGCTCCTTTCCTGTCATTCCCCTCTCTCTCTCTCTCTCTGATTTCTGACTCTATGCTCTGTCCTTTCACAATAAAAGCACAAAAATAAACCTTAAATAAAGTTGCTCTCATTCAGCAGGATAATAAAACATTTCAGACATGACTCCGCCCCCGATGATGACATCATTGCTGTCAAACAACGTCGTGAAAATCAGTGATAACAAATATTATACTGAGCGTATTTTCACAAAGTAATGAAATAAAACAAATAAATACGAGCTGTCAGCGTTAACCAGTTAATCACATTAATCTCCTGTTTGTCCCTTCAGGCTCTCCGTAGATAGTGGTCCTCAGTGTCTCCCTGTAGTCTCACTGATGGACAAGAAGAACACTGCTGCATCTTTGAACGTCTCATTTCACTTTAACAAACTCTCACACAGTAATATCCACCTGATGACATCACACATTGACCTGATGACATCACACACTGACCTCATGACATCACACATTGACCTCATGACATCACACATTGACCTTTGTTACCGTTCCTTTGAGCTGTTTGACCTCAGTTTGGGATCTCTAACCACTTCCTGTTTCTGTGCTTAACTTCATGTCCTTATCTTCCATCTACAGGAAGCTCCTTATTGTATTTCAAAATAAAAGCACACAGCAAGGAAAGCACTCTCAGCTTAAGACATGGCAAACCTTCAAAATAAAAGCCTATCAGTTTGTATATAGGTTAAGGGACTTAGGTCTGAGCAGCTTGTGGTCCAAAGATGGCACAGGCCCTGGTCAGTATTTCTTTAATTGGTAGGAGGGGGTCCTCCTCTTGAAATCCCCTCTAAGTAGGCGGGAGAGAAAGCAGATCATAAAAGCCTAAAAAGAGCTAAAAGTGTAAAAGAGAAGAACATTAAAAGATGTCATGGTAGATTCAAAGTAAACAGATTCATTTGGTTGTGTTGAAGAGAAGGAAGCGGTCAGGTTTAGGGAGGCTGCTGGGTTCACGGTTAGCTTTAGGATTGTGGGTGAGCTTAAGAATAAAAAGCAGGGAAGAGGACGATGTGGAGATGGATGGTTAGGATTAGGGTTCAGGTAAGTGGGAAGTTGTTGTTTCTTTGTGTACAGGTGAGGTGGAGACCCTGACCCTCCTCCCCTGTGAGAGCAAAGAAAAGAATGAAATGATGCAGGTAAGTTTCTCTAACAGGTGAGTACAACAAGAAATAAATGAATTCATGAATGTCGTTAAATCATCAAAGTTCACACGGTAAAAGAGGACAGCGTTAAATCACATGCAGCTTAGTGTTCAAAGTGTTCATGGGGTAGTAATAAATCAATAAAACAAGTGCTCTATGTGTCCTCCCTGTGGTGACAAACGTCCTGATTGGTGGAGCTGGTTTGCTGACTCTGATATATACAGGTGAGTGGGAGGTGGATACGTTACAGACGCTGATGCTGTTGTATCCTGTGCTGTGAGGTTTCTCCTGGAGCGTGACGATGGAGTTGTTGTGGAGGCTGGAGGCTTTCTGGATCCTCTGTGTCGGAGCCATGAATGGAAGTTGATGGTGTGTTTGGTTTCATGGTTTGTTTACTGCTTTGTTTATTGTTTACTTCTTGTTACAGGTGGGACATGTCGTGGTGATGTCAGTGATTATATGAGCCGCACTCACCTGTTCACCTGGTTTAGTCTCAGATGGAGAGAGGGGCTGAGCGTGGGAGCAGAACATTTCTGTTGAGCGCCACACTACACTGCACTGCCATCACAAGTTGATTTTACCACCCGGTAACTGCAGTTGTAGTTTCTTGTGTTTTGTAGAATAAATGACTAAAGCATCTTGGATCTGGAAGTCATTCATAACGACGTCACAGCTTCACTCCCGTCTTTAGTCCCTCGCTGCACTCTTTTCTTTGACGACCTGCAAAGGCCGATATAGACGCAATACTCTGTGTGTCCTGATCAAGCTTTAAATAAAGTGCTAAGATCATGCTGTCAATAAATAAAGGAAAGTAAAAGACACACAAAACAACATGCACAAAGTCATCCATTCATTAAAACAAGATGAAAACATTTCAAACTAGTTTTTGTTTGATCTAAAACTCCATAGATGTGAAACAATCCCTCTCACTGTCCTTCCACCTTTTGGACACCAGGTGGCAGCATTGCACCGTGGATAAAAGCAGGTAGGGGGAAACCGTGTTGTTGTTGGTGCACCAGCAGGTGGCGGTATTTCCCCGTTTTCCTTGTTGGCTGCAGTTAAAAGCAGAGAAACCAAACAACTGTCCTTCCGTCTTCTGAGCAGGAGATGGCGGCCTGAATCAAAGTTTTTCATTTGGGCCGTTTGGTTTCTTTCTTTTCAATCATTTGATGAACGTGGTTTCCATTCTGAGGCGTTGACTTCTGGACCAGTTTGTGTTGCTTTTGATGCCTTCTGTTTTCAGATGGTCTGCTCCACGTCTTCTGAAGTGCATGTAAACGGCCGGATTTTCTTTGCCTTTGTTTCTTTGGTAGATTTGTGGTCTCAATCTGTATTTCAGCTGCTTGTTTGTTTCTCCCACATACATGATATTACAGGTTGAACATGTTACTGCATAGGGTTAGAGTTAGGGTTACACACGGGATTCAAAATGTCTTTAATCACCACTAACTTTTGAAATGTAGCGATTAATGGAGATTCAAAATGTTGCTGGTTGGACAGCCCTCACATAAATATAAAATGCTGAATTATGAATAAATAATGAAACATCTTTTCAGACTGGTGGTCTCCTGCCGTTCATCATCATCAGGACAAACTAACGTTACTCTGTAGTTCATCTTTATTAGGAGGAGAATATGTGACCTTTAAACACAACCTTCAGTTTCTGTTTGAAGCCTTAAATGTAGATTCAGGATATTTAGAGCGAGGAGTCTCAGGAAACGTGGGATTAAAACTCTGAAACATTCTGAATAAACTTCCTCCTGTCTCATCAGATCAGCTTTAGAGTTGAAACTATGAAAAGATCTCACCGTTGATGTGAACGTAGGTCTCTGCCTCAGTGTGGTGTTTGATCTGGTCCTGTGTGACCACACAGCTGTAGTGGTCGGTCTTGGTCACAGTGGTTTGGAGGATGATGTCGTAGCTGCCTCCTCTTTCTGTGACCTGTGCTTCTTTAGCATGAAGGATGTTTCCAGAACTGTCCCTCCACTCCACTTTAGGTCGAGGAGAAGCTCCATAAACTTCACACTGCAGCAGAGACCAGTCCTTTGATTGGTCGAGTATGGTGACAGACGGCTTGGAAGCAGCGCCTGTGGAGACAATAGAAACAAAAGATTTCATCAGAAAGCTGCAGAATAGATGTTTCAGATTAAAGCATGTGGAGGTAGATAAGTAAAGTATCACAAAGAAGAAGACAAGCAATATATTTAAAAGACATTGTGAATATTAACATGACATGAAATAAACATTTAGTATTGTGGAGTAAAGACTTCATAATAAGAGAGTGAATTTAAACTCCCTCTGGGTTTGTTGTTCTCAGCTCTGAGTTCACAAATACAGGACTGCCATGTTTCCTTCAGCAGTATTTCTGTCTCTTTTGGAGGGAACCCCTCCCTGTCCAACCGTACGCCCTGCCACCACCTGGAGGAGGAAGGACGGCCCTGAAGTCAGAACTCCAACTCTGGAAACTCGGAGCGACCTCAGTAGCCCGAGCTAAAATCCAACATGGCTGCTGCGTGCATCTACAGTAACGTTTAAGCTGAAACTGATGTAATGAAATCAATCACACCGATGGTATCGTGGAAGTTCTCTCTGTGGACATGTGGTCATGTGACGTTCAGACACAAACTATCACGTAGTGTGTTGTTATCAAACTAAAGAACTGCTGGAGGCGTCCATGTTGCTGGTCAAACTGGTTTTCAAACTGGTCATGGGAACGCGCTCAACTCGGGTGTGACGTCAATCCTAGCTCGGACATTCGACTTGAGAGGTAAATGGAACGCACCAGAAGTCGTACTACCATGTTGAAGAGGAGTCACAGCCCCCCCCCCCCCTCCAAGAAGCCGTGTCTGGGTGGATTAAAACGAGGGCGTCGTTGCAAAAGAACGACGGCAGGAGAACCAATGACGTGCGGCTCTGAAGCTGCTCCTGTGGACACGGAGGAAACAAAGGTTCATGGAAAGAAGATTTCACATCCCTTCATGTATCTCCACTTCTCTTCTTTTATATTCCTCTACTGTACACGCCTTAGTTTATCTCAGCCTGTCACATGCTAAGTCCCGCCTCCTGGGAATGGCTGTAGGCCAAAACAGCTGTCAATCACTCCCTCCCAGCAGACGTGGGTTGTGTCTCCGTTGATCAGAAGCCGTTCAGGACGACGAGTGAGCCGTCTCTAAGTTGAGGTTAAAGGTCATGTAGCCCTTCATGATTGGACAGTGAGAATGTGTGAGCGTCCATGGAGATGTAAGCGCTCTTTTCATCTCATACGGCTCTAAAGTGGAACATATGTGATGTGATTCTTGTTGGTTTTTCTGCTGCTATTGATATAAAAACATCTGAATACTACTAATATCATTTACTCTTATTTCTAATGTTAGTTATATGTCTACATCGGGGGCGGCTGTGGGTCAGTGGGCGAGTCGGTCGTCTCTCAACTGGAAGGTCGGGGGTTCGATCCCCAGCTCCTGCAGCCACATGTCCCATGTGTCCTCGGGCGAGACGCTTAACCTCAAGTTGCTCCCTCTGCTTCGTCGGCGGCGTGTGAATGTGTCTGAATGGATGAGTTAATCCTCTTTACCCAGCAGCCTCAGTATGACATCATCAGGTGTGACATCACCTGGAGCTCTGACCTCAGTCACAAACATACGATCACATCGACACATTTCAAACAAAGTGGACACAAACTGAACTTTAGAAAGTCGCTGGAGGTAGAGTTGATGTCTTTCCTGTCGTGTTGAATCGTGTTCCATCGTGTTCCTCGTCTCTTCTGTGACGCTGATCTGATACGGCGAGCTGCACGTGGAGGAACACGGACGCTGTGCGCTTTTAAAGAAAGTAGTCCCCGAGGAAAAGGCGGTCTGATGGAGAGGTGTAAATATTGACAAACACAGCGGACACTCAGGTTTCTGTGTTTTTCTTGAAGGTGGGACTTTTAGTGAAGCTGCTCGAGTATGTTTTCATCTCCTGCAGGTAACACGCCGTGTGGTCATAAGAAGGTCAAACGAGCACACGGTCAAACTGTGTACTGTCCCTTTAAGGCCTTTAGTGACCTCCATGGATCAAATGATTAAAGGGACGATCAGTGCATGTGTTTGGAGCTAAAGGAGGCTCCTAGTTATACTCTGTTTTAATGATCATGTCGGCCTCAGTAGATTCAGCTCGGACATGTTTCACATTATTAACACGTCGTCTCTTCTCACTCACTGAAACGTCTCCGATTCCTGTGACGGCACGCCGCTCCTTACAAATGTGTGTGTGTGTTTCTGAATGTGTGTGTGTGTTTCTGAATGTGTGTGTGAGTTTGTGTGTGAAATCTTTCCTCCATCATAACTAACGACTGACTCGTTTCAGAGCACTGATTCAGTCTGAAGTCACGTCTGAGTGCAGCTCTCAGTCAGGAGCTCTTTGGTGAGCAGGTAACATCTGCAGCAGCGTCCAATCAGAGAGCAGCAACACGGTAACCATGGAGATGAATCCAGCAGGACCAGCTGCAGTAAAAACTGTCAAGTAAATAAGTTTGAGTTGAAGGTGTGAAACATTAAAGTGAGCTCCTGATCCTGTGTGAAGGAGCAGCAGGTGTTGTTTAGTTTTGCTCTTTTAGATTCATGTCTGCAGGAATGTTTTAGTTTGAAGATAAAAAGAGTTCATGATGTTCACACAGAGACCAGATATGATGACCTACACACAGAAACACATCATGAAGAGTTAGAATTAACACCTGAATGTATTTTTAGTCATAAACTATTCAGTAAATAATCTTCCTCACTTCATTTCGATTCTTTTTGAATTATTTCTGACCTCCTCTTCGCTCTGGTCATTTCTTTTGTTTTCTGAACTAAATAGTTTCTTCAGTTTGTTCCATCAGCTGCTCAGTTAAACCTGGTGGTTAGTGTGAGGTGATCATTTCAACAACAAGCTCAAACGTCTTTAAGAACTCGTCTTTGTGTTGTGAACACTTTTAATGTAGAGATGCAGAATTAACATTTTTCCTGTTTTTTCCCCCGGGGAAGCCCACAAGAATGGAAATTGAAAAGTAAACAAACGCCATAGAACGAGAAAAAGGTAGAGACGGATAAAAAGCAGGAAGGTGAAACCACGCTCTATTTAAAGTCTACAGGAAAAGAATATATAAAAAACTAAAGCAGATTCAGAACTCTACTGCACATCTGTTAACAACAACCAGAGAGACAGAGAGCACATGCTGCATTGTTGGAATGTTTTTCACTCGTTGCAGTGATTGGCTGGTACTGAAGGTTCCCCGAGCTTTTTCATTCGCTGCTCCTGATTCCTGGAATGTCATCCAACACATTTTTAAAATGAAGGCTCTGCCCTCATATGCAGCCTTTAAGACCACAGTAACGGACCATTGTGCATCAAGTTGTTCTTTGTTTAAACTGATTTGTTTTTCTTTTTTACTCGCTTTTATTTGTGTCCCCAGTTTAATGCTGTGAGCTCGACATCACTGTGAATGAGGGAAAGCTGAGTGAATTGAATTATACAAGATAAACTTATTTATCCCACAACAAAGACATTTACATTTATATTAAGAAGAACTTTTCATAATGAGTTAAGTCAATAAACGTAAAATAAAAATACTAATGCCACATGATGTCGTGTTGTCATGGTTACAGAGAAGTCGCAAAGTGCTGTCCAGTTGGTATTAAACCATTTAGAGCCCTCACAGCCTCGTGCTCTCAATCACTTTCCAGGTGACGTAAATAAAGTCCGTAAAGGTTCAGGGTTTAGGGAGGACATCGAGATTCAAGTGAGGCAATCAGCAAACTGTTGAACTAACAAAACAGAGACAATGAATACATCAACCACTAGAGGGCGACAGACACTCCAGGAAGCAGACTGTCTCCTGAAGAAGAAGGAGCTGACCAGAGTGTGGACCTTTCTCTTTTTTATTAATATTATAAATTATTATCATTAATATCATTAATGATTATCATTAATATCATAAATTACTATTATTATTATCATAAATTATTATTATTAATATCATAAATTATTATCATTAATATCATTAATTATTATTATCATTAATATCATAAATTATTATTATTAATATCATAAATTATTATCATTAATATCATTAATTATTATCATTAATATCATTAATTATTATTATTAATATCATTAATTATTATTATTAATATCATTAATTATCATGTTAGCAATATTTTATATCAAATAAAATCCATCAGTGTTTTAAGGATAGATTCGAGTGTTCGATCTGCTCTCTTTATTGGACAGGACGGGGACAGAGTGGGAAACAGAGATGATGAGTGGGGAACGACATGCCGGAAAGCAACCACAGGTCGGAATCGAACCCGGGCCGCCCGCTTAGAGGACTACAGCCTCCGTACATGAGGAACGACCTCCACACAGTTACTAGTTAGTGTGAGGTAAAGAAGCTTACAACAAGGTGAAGTGAATAACTCCTTTTTGTGAGGTTAGCCTTTTTAAAAGGAATAACTCAAAGTTAGTTTGTTATGGTTTAAATATTACTTCCTGTTTTAGATACCATGAGAGTTCTGGAGTCTCTCTCGTTCTTCTTTTGTTCTCTTTATATTTATTTATTAAATGGCGTCTTAGAGTCACAGTAATACTGAACATTTACTTTACATGAGGACAGAAGAGCACACTGTTTTCATATTAAAGCATCAACAGAAAGATTCTTACCACCCAGAGGAACGTAGGTCTCAGCATAGATTTGATGGTTGATCTCGTCCTGTGTCGATAAACATCGGAAACGTCCGGTCTTGGTCACAGTGGTTTGGAGGATGATGTCGTAGCTGCCTCCTCTTTCTGTGACCTGTGCTTCTTTAGCATGAAGGATGTTTCCAGAACTGTCCCTCCACTCCACTTTGGGTCGAGGAGAAGCTCCTCTGACTAAACACTGCAGCACCACCCCATCCTTCGTTTGATTAAGTGTACTAACATAAGGCTCTGGGGCTGCTCCTGTGAACACAGAGTAAACAGTAAGTGACTGAAGTGGAATCACAGCAGGACAAATATAACAACACAAGTTAAACTCACACCTCTCTGTTCACATAACATTGAACTGCTTAACGGTCTCTGCAGGCATTTGGAAAATGCTTCAAACTTGATGTTAGTCTGATCATTGTGAGGAGCAAAGTGATGCTAGGTTTCAGTCTGTTTGGACGTAAAGCCTCCCGTCACAAACATCAGAATTTTCTGATTAGTTAAAACTGTTCTGGGGAAATGTTGATTATCAAAACTGTTGATGTGTGCGTCAGCAGTTTGTGATGAGGTGTGTTGAGCTGCAGTAACAGGTGCTAATACATCATTAAGTCTCATTAAACTATCAATTCATCATTTATGATACGTGGACTTACATGCTACATTAATTTAGGCACAGAGGACCAAGTATCAGGTATCAACCCTGAGGGGTCAGAGCAGATTAAAAACACTTTGTGGTTATCAGAGAAAAATGAAATTCTTATCAAATTTGATTTGGTAAACATTTTTAATTACTGTTAAATATCGTGTTGGTGAATGTAAGTGATGAGTTACAGACCCTCCAGGGAGTGACGTCATCATAACATAACTCACCTGGGATGTTTTCCTCTGACCTGACCTTTAAGATAGCACCTGGAAGGTAAAAGACATGAGATGTTAGAGGGACAGATGATCAACTTCACCCTGGAGGAAGAATGTAAATGTGCTGCCTTTATAATGTGTGTAGAGCTGAACTGTGGCTGTGCAGAGTGACATTATGGATCACGTGTTTCATGTCTGATACAAACTGTGTCTCTCCAGATGTGGCTGCAGCTCTGTGGGGATGAACACCTGCCAGATGTTTATTTGAAATCCACCTGGGACTCTTCAAACACGTCTGACTGAACCAGAAAACTCACCAACAACCAGCTCAATGTGGAACATCTGACTCGGCTGCAGACGAGGAAAAAAACAGGTGTAGTTTCCACTGTCGGCCACCTTGGTCTTCCTGATCTTTATGGAGGCGTTACCGTTCTTCAGCTCGTCGTTAAAATGTGAGACTCGACCTTCAAACTGTTTGTCTTGACCTGAAAGGCCGTGAGCGTAATAATCTCCTCCGTCGTACATGAACACCTCCTTGTGATCGTCTTTCTTCCAGTCAAACAGCTTCGTCTCGATGTTCTCCTTGGTGCTGAGGGAACACGGTAACACAGCATCACTGTCTTCTTTCACCACCACTCCACCTGAGACAGAAACACGAGGATGAATCAGTTTGTTTACATGCAGAAAAATAAAGTTCAGTTTGTGTGATAATCTAATGTCAGTTTCTGATCATAATAATCTCACTGTTTATCTTTGTGTAGCTAAATGTCATCATGAAATCATTTCCACTGAACTCGGGCGTCTTCACAGTCGTTTACATTTTACTATGTGACACATATTCATCATATTTAACCATCTATCTCATTTATAAACCCTCATGTTGATGTTTCTGTCTCCTCATCCTTTTCTTTACACATTCATCTGATATCAAAGATAAAAAACAAACATGTCACACTTCTGAACAGAGACTAGTGAATGTTTACATCAGTATTCATACGTTTCTTTAGTCAAAGTGTCTCTGAATCAGCCGATTAAACTCTTTGAATCTGAGATTTCTGAGGAGAAGGAGGTGAAACTTCTTTCTCTGCTTCTTCTTTTAGTTTGATTTATTCTGACTCTTATTTCATAATTCATTAAAAACTTCATTAAACTCTGATACTCCCTCACACAGTGGACTCACATCCATGTTGTATTATCTGTAATTGATCATGGTCCATAATATGTGAGTGATGCTGCAGTTTTCTCTCTGCAGGATGGAGGAGACGCCCTCCAACATCTACTCCCAGAGAGACGAGCATCACACTGCGCATGTCTGTTAAACGGCTGTAATGTGATGACGTCACCTGAGCTGTGGAGGTTGATGTTTTAATATTTCTGTATTAATGTCCTTTAGTTTCAAACGGAGCTAAATATCGATGCTAACAGTCTCCGGTGCTAACGTTATCTCCCCTCCGCTGATAAACTTCCTACTTTTCTGTCTCCAGACTTCATGTTTCAACATTTTTTACATTTATTTTTCATCCATTTCAATCTCAAACAGTTCAGAGTAAATATGAGCCGTTACTTTTCTCACCGTTTTCATCAGCAAACGTTATTCCAGACCGAGTCACGACGCAGAGACACACGAGAGGAAGAAGCTTCATAGTTGTTGATCTGAACATTCAACGTGACGTCACTGACGGGCACTTCAGAGGACGCTGCTGTGACGTCACTAACACGATGATCTCCTAGCAACACTTTCGATGATCGTCCTTCAAAATAAAAGTATTATGTCGAAAACACAAACAATAAAAGTCTGAATGAATAAATAAAACCTTCTCACAATACTGTAGCACAATCCCCAACAAATAAGTTTGAACATTTATCAGCTCAATGAACCAAAAGTGATTTTTTTAAGTTTAACTATTTAGAGAGCAGCTAAACGGTCACTGTGTTTCTCTTTTATTTCTGTCTCATATTTTTGTATTAAAGTTACAGCTGAATTATTTTACATTTTAACTGCAGTAGATGTTTTGTTAAATAATTTAAAAAATGTTTAATAATTCTGATGGTTAACTTCAAACAGGAATTCATCATATTCTTTAAAATTAAATGTAACACTGTGCCGTTTTATATCTTATTTTATTTTTATTTTACAGGGACATTGCATATTAATAAACATTTCTGTAAATGTGCCAGAGTTAGCCAAAAGGCTAATTTTCATCTGTTGTCCCTGGACAGATTTTATAAAAGGCTCCCTAAAAAAAAAAAAAAAAAATTCAAACATTGCTAAAAGCTACAAAAACAAGTATTAGTAAAAGCACGTATCCAATAACCTACTAAAGTAACTGTAACGTGCACACAACAAAACAACATGTAACACAATATACAATAAACACGTAGAAATTACAAATTACACAAGGCCACATAAAAAACATTGAGTGAGCTATACCTGAAGCTCACCTCAACAGACAACAACACGCAGGACACATTCATTTAAAAAACAGGACACATTCATCAACAACCAGACACAAGGGGGCAGCAGCGAGCGGAACAGGTTTAGTGCTGACAGATGTGGTTATCAAATAGCCAGTGTTTCAGATGTGAACTAAATGAACGATATGTGTTGCTCTCTCTGATAACTGTTGGGATGTTGTTCCATTCACGTGAGGCTGGAACAGAAAAGGCCGACTGACTAAAAACACACTTCCTTAGAGGAATAATGCAGTCGCCTCTTGAGACACCCCTCCTGAAGTGATGTGTGTTTGTTCATATGCTTACAAACTCTCTGAGTGGGGGAGGGGCCAAACCATGTGAGATTTTATAAAGGAGCATTTTTGTGTTTAATCATGTTCTCCCAGCTCAGGAGGTTGTATTTTCTGAGGATTGAACAGTGGTGGAATTGCTTTGGTTTTTTGTCTAAAACTTTTATTGTCTGTTTATACAAAGACTGTAGTGGTTTTAATGTGGTGTGACTTGCCTGAGACCAGCTTGTCATACAGTAGGTCATATATGAGAAAATCATTGAATGCATGTACATGTTGGCTGCTTCAGTAGACATGGAGTTTCTGATAAATCTGAAGTTGGCAAGGTTAAATTTAATTTGTTTACAGACTTTTTTTTACATGTGCTTTAAAGTTCAGGTTGGAGTCAAGTATAATGCCAAGGTATTTGAATTCTTTTACAATCTGTAGTTTTTCTTCTGACACAAGTATATCTGGATCGGATATCTGGTTTGAGTCATTTGTTTTAGTGAAGAACATACCAACAGTTTCAGACACGTTAAGTTGGAGACAGCACTGATTAAGCCATGCTGTAATTTTGACCATTGCGGTTGTTAGTTTTGAAGCAACTTCTGCTTTTGTTAAACCATGCACATACAAAACTGTATCGTCAGCATACATTTGAATGTTAACCTCAGGACACACAGATGGCAGGTCATTTACATACAAGCAGAATAAAAGTGGGCCCAGTATAGATCCCTGCGGAACGCCCGTGGACAAGCAGAGGGCGTCAGATTGATAATTAAGTATTCGCACACTTTGAGAGCGGTTGGAGAGATATGATTCTACTCATTTCAGAGCATCAGCAGAGAAATTAAAGGTGGATAACTTAGATAGAAGAACCCTGTGATTTACAGTGTCAAATGCTTTTCTGAGATCCAGAAAGACAGCACCAACAATGTCACGGTTATCTAGCAGTGATTTGATTTTTTCAATGAGGAAGCAATTAGCTGTCTCTGTTGAGTGGTTGGATCTGAATCCAAACTGCATTGGATGCAGGTGATAAGAGCTGTTGTTCAGGTGATGTATAATTTTCTCAGCCGCCCATTTCTCTGCAACTTTAGACATAATAGGAAGAATGCTGATGGGCCTATAATTGCAGGGTGAATGGGGATCACCAGATTTGTACATTGGTGAAATAACGGCAGATTTCCACACCCTTGGGAATTCACCCTGTGATATTGAGAGATTAATGATTTTGGTGATGGGTTTGGCTAATGCTGCACCAAGATCCTTAACCATTGTTGTGTCCATCCCAAAATCATCTTTTGCTTTTGATGGCTTGAGGGATCTAATAATTTCTGTGATCTTTGATTCACTAACATTTATAAAATGGAAAGCTGGCTCTGTTTTGTTTGCCAAGCACAGATTAACCTGCTTAGCAGAGAAGCTCTGTGCAATAGTTGCTACAGAATCGACAAAGTATCGATTAAGAGCTCCAGCTACTTCAGCTGGGTCCTTCGTCAGGTTTCCATTCAGGCTAAGTTCAATTTGTTTTCCTACTTTGGTTTGTTGACCCAGGAGCTTTTTTAACTGACTCCATATTAATTTAGAGTTTCCCCTCGCCTCATTAATTATTGTCATAAAAGAATCAGCCCTAGCCTTCCTCAACCCTGCTATCACCTTATTTCTTAACATGGCAAAATGAATTTGTCGTGGAACAATCTGGTCTTAATGGCCATTTTCAGTGCCAGATCTTGCTCTTTCATCAGTTTTAAAATATCTGCATTTATCCAGGGAAGACTGTTCTTTTTATTCCTATACTTAAACTTACGGGAGAATTCTGTGATGACACTATGCACTTTACTTGAGAATATTTGACTGCCCTCCTGCAAGTTTTTTCCGAAGAGCAAATCATTCCAATTGACGCTATTTATAGTGTTTTTAAAACATTCCTGCTTGTTCTTAGGAATTCTAAGAGATTCATTCTCTTTGGCAATTGAGGGGCTAAATCTCATTTTTGTTAATTTTCTGATCACCAGAATAAGATTGTGGTCAGATATCCCAGTGATCATATTGAGAGATTTAGTCATTCTCTCAGGTCTGTTACTAAATACCAAGTCAATCTGAGTTCTGGTGGATTGGGTTATTCTTCTTGGACCCTTGATCAGCTGTGAGAGATCTAAACCATCAGTTATTTGTTTGAGGTTCTTTCTAGTAGCCTTATCTTCCCAATTAACATTAAAATCGCCCATTATTATCACCTCTTTTTTAAATTGCACTCTACAAGCATGTTTTGGAACTTTTCATAAAATGCATTATTTGCAGAGGGTGGGCGGTAAATTACAATCAGGACAAAAGACATTTGTGGTGACAAAGTGATATTCAAGCCAATACATTCAGCTCACAATTTGACCAAGTTAATTCATTACATTGAATACTATCCTTCACATAAACCATGACCCCGCCTCCCTTTGATGTCACTATCTCTTCTGAAGATTTGATAGCCAGGTACCTCTAATGCTGCAGATGGCGAGTTTTCATGCAGCCAAGTCTCTAGAAAACATCCCGTTTGTCGAGCTCCTATGTTGAAACTATCTTAAACTTATATATTTAAATAATTGAATCAACACATAAAGCAACACTTAACCCTTAATCCCACCTGGAAGTTTATAACAGTCTTTTTAGAGTTAATTTACTGTAGTGAAGATCACTATTTTATCTCACTTCCCTTCTTCACCTACCTCAGTTCACTTCCTGGTTTCTCCTTCCCCTTCATTGATTGGTTGTTGTTTGTCCTCTATCAGAATTCACCTGATCACTGCTCATTTAAAGACTGCTCTCGCTCCTCTTCACCTTCACTCTGAAGTTTGAACTGTGTGTTTATTTCATTTTTGTTTCCCCCTTTATTGAACCTTTGACTTGAATTTAAAGAAATAAACCATAACTGAAGTTCATGCATCCTGACCCGAGGCCCATGGTGATAGTCACCCAATAAATTTGAACCCTTCCTAACATTTACATTTTCATAAAAGCCTACAGCGTGTAGTATTTATTTACGCTGCTCACGTTATTCAGTCTGTAAAGTTTCCTCTTGTTATCCTCAAATCAAGTCAGAGGACAAAAGTTAAAGTGTGTGAATTAAACTCTGAGAGCAGCTGCTTTGTTTGTTTCTTGTCAGTAAAAATCACTTCAGTGTTCGACAGTCAGAAGACACAGTTTGACATTTTTCATGTTTTATTCAAACGTTTGTACAGAAATGAAGAAGCTCTGTGTGAAATGACTTGATACCTCCAAGATCATCATCATCATCATCATCATCATCATCAGTCTACAGCGTGAACAGACATGAACGTTGATGAAGTCAAACCTCTCAGTCAACAACAGGAAACAGTCAGAGTCCAGTTTACACCGGGCTCAAACTAAAGCAGTCTGAATCAACAGTCCTCAAACAGGTTAGGACTTTCTTTGTCACCATGTGGAAAACTGTCTTTGTCTTCACAACAAAGAAAACATGATGACAAACAAGACAACATTTTCTGAGCAGTAAAGTTTGGGGGTATGGGGGGGGGGGTTATGTTTTTTTGACTTTATAAATGTAATAATGGAATCACACTTGGGACCAGTGATTGTTTGTAATCATGGTCTGTGACTCGTGGCAGTCTGAAGCGTCTGAAACCTAAACTGGGAGTGCAGGGGATGAGAGGGGTCGCTGGTTAATAAATCCTGAAGGTTCTAATGTTCACTTCACACAGACTCATCATTATTAATATCAGTAACACAAAAATAAAACCTTCATCACATTATATTTGACTTCAGCTGCAAAATATTCACTCATCATTTATTTTCAGCATAAACTGAAGTTTTATGGTTTTAATTCCACATGTTGGTTATTCTGAACCTTTCAGAGCTACGAGCACTTTGATTATTTATGTTTACAGCAGTTATAAAACACTTTGATTATTTATGTTTACAGCAGTTATAAAGCACTTTGATTATTTATGTTTACAGCAGTTATAAAGCACTTTGATTATTTATGTTTACAGCAG